GCCGGTCGATCTCTTCCTCCAACTTTCCATCACTAGTAAATATAGTTCCGAGGTACTTGAACTTCTCCAGAGTTCCTCTTGAGGAGAAGTTCAAGTAATTTTTTTTTATTGCTCTAACGAAATATATTGTGCTTACTAGACACAACACCGAGCGCTTAACAGAGAAACTAGATAGGCATTTTCTGCTATAACGGTAATCGTGACTGGACATGAATATTGTACAGATAGTGTTTATAGCAACGAAAGTTGTGTCCTTTTCCGTCATGTGATGCACCTGCATATTTGCATGGCACGAGTTCGCAAAGCCACAGAGGAAGGTCAGTAGTGATAGATACACGATCATTTGTTCTAAGGTACACAATGTGGCAGTTTTATTTTGTGGAAACGTTGAACCAAAGATGGAATTTATTATTTGAGGGCAGTGTCAGTTTTTGTTTCGCAGCGTAAAACTTTGGTGTAAAGCAGTGATAAAGCAAGTAGTAGTTTATTGCATTAAATCAAATCACTATTAAAATCACAACAATTGAGACATTTACGCGTTAGTTTAAATCGTATTATACGAAGACATTTTTATTGTCGTTCAGCATGTTTCATCGCATGGTTCAGCAGGTGGGCACGTGTTACAGACTCCGTCTACACAACTGGCCATCCACGTGTTGGTAGAAGGACGTACTTTGGCAGTTTGTGGCTGTGCAGGATGTTGTTTTGCACTGCTTGGTTGATTAGTAGTTTGTTCTGTAGTGCTTGGATTTGTAGCGCTTGATTTTGGAATTTGGTCATGTGCTGCTAAAGCTGTGGACGACGACGGTGAATCGCGGCCCAGTAATATTCTCCCGACGTCATAATCATCCCCTTTAACGTCCAAAACGATTTTGTCCAAATTAGGGTCACTGCCACTCGTCTGACAGTAGTGACGAATGAACAGGTAAAGCTTGAAGTTGGCAGTATCTCCAGAGGTGCCGCTGTTTTCATCACTGTAGCCGCATCCACGAAGCTGGAAGCTGCCATCTTTCTCGACTTGAACAGCGCTAAGCAAGAACCACGTTACAGGCAGACAGACAGCAATGAAATACAAGCAATGTGAAGTCGGCATACCCATTAATGTCATTGAAATTAGAATCCAGATGATCACCGTCACTGCTCTTCAAGAAGATCATGCTGCGTCGCACACTCCCATGCTCAGCTTTGCATTCCAGCCTGCCTCTGACAAGTACGCACTCCGGTATACAGCATGCGTAATGAAACGTCACCAGAAATAATAACACATTCCACAGTAATTGACCATGCATTATCATCGGCTA